TTTTTGTGAGTCTTTGTGACATCTTGGAGAGTTTTCTTTGTGAAATCCAAGAGTGAAAACGTTTGTGAAAAGCTTTGTTAGAAGATCATCATCATCATATTCTTGAAAGGGGAAGATAAAGATTTGTTCAAGAATTCCAGGTGAATTCGTTCCTTTTATTCTTTGTGAATCTTTGTGGAAAATCTTGAGAAGGGTTTCTCAAGTGGTAAGGTTTCTTGTAGTGGGTTCTACAAGGGGTGCTTTCTTGGGGTCAAGAAAGTGGTTATCTTTTAGTATTGAAGTATATGCATGTGTGTGTGCTTGTAAACCTTCTTGCTTAAAGATAATGGAACAAATCTTAATCAGGTGTTGATTAAGGACTGGATGTAGGTCACAAGTGGAGTGGCTGACCAGTATAAAAGACTTGTGCAATCTTCTTCTACCTTATCTTTTACTTTGTGTAATTTATTGGTTAAACTTTAAAGAAGATAAAACTTGATTAACAAGTGTATGTGAATCTTGATGGTTTAAATCTGTAATTGAACATTATTGTTGAACCTCATTATGTTGTAATCAAGTGAGCATATTGCATTCATATTTTCGTAACAAGTCTTTAGAAGAGCTTCATTTGGAAATTCTATCATAGAAAAGTTTTGATTGAAATTAAGATCCAAAATACTCTGATAAAATTTTAAAGGGTCATTGAATCCAATTCACCCACCTCTTGGATTGTGCCATTCTTTTCTAACATGCTTGACCTGGAGTAATACAGGAATGGGTGACTTTTTGGAAAATTTCTCATAAATTGCACAAATAAGGATAAAACACGCTAAACAATGAAATATTATGAAATGGAACTCTTAAAAGAAATTTTCGTCAAAAATCAGCATTTTTCTATATTTCCACAATTCTAGCTCCGTGAGTTCCAAGTCAAGAAGTTTCCCATTATTGAAAAAAACCCATTTTTTCCATTTTAGTGACGTCAGCCTAATAAAATTCAGAAAGAGCTTCAAGGGAAAGTCCCCCACGTAGAATACTATTCCGAGTCCAATATAAAAACCGACTTGTTATGTTTGGGCACTCGAACATGGAAAAACTTGGTTTAGAATTTTTTATACGAAGGATGAAATAAACTTACTAAAAGTCAGTCATTCACTCCGTTAATAGAGACCTAACCGACTTTTTTAACATTATTTCTCATAAAAAATAGAAGAACTTATCGAAAGTTAGATCCACCTCTAGACTACGACACATGATCTCAAATCAACAAATGAAGGCCTAACTATTTAGGTGATGTTAGGTCGGTGCCACGTTTAAAGTACGAAGGATAGCCTTTTATAACTCGGAAAATGGGAGCCTAACTTGTAATTTATTAACTAGGTTTCGTATAAGGATATGAACTCCTCCTAGGATTGAGACCAACTTATACACATAGGTTCACCCAAAGTGTAGGGCTCTATGATGACATTGTCATAAACCCTGTCGACCATCATGATACTGGTTGAACGCAACTATTCTATGGTGGCCTAGTTGGAATACTTCGACCTTGCTTCTAAGATCTCTTTATGAACCTAGGGGTATGACTCACGGTAGGCCATAATTCAACTAAAATCTTCCCAAGCCTCTCCACGAATAAAAACAAAGAACAAAGGGGAGAGAACGTACCTTCAACGGCAAAGAAGTGGTCAAACTGACTTATTTTTGAAAGGGAAATGACATTAAAGACACGAGATATCAGGCATATCAGGTGCAAACTGATAAAACTCATACAAAATATGGAACAAAAAGATATCAGAGATATGACGAAGATATATATAGATAAACGGATAGATAAAATATTAGGGTTAACGGAAATCCTATAAAGAAGACACATTTTTCGAGAGCAACACTAGAGAAATTTTGTACTTTAATGCTCTGGTGACAAGAGACCTTTTTGTGGTCGGAACAATTAGTTTTTTTATTTATTATATTATATAAACAAATTTATTTTTAAAATATAATTTACTTATTATTAATAAAATTTAAATTTTAAATAAAATAAAAAATAAAAAATAAAATATTTTTTATTTAAAAGATAATTCATGTTTAGTCATATATGTTGATAAACATTCAAATACATGTTACAAATTTATAAATTTATAATAAAAACATGACAATTGTATAGAAAAATATTTTAAATATTAATAGTCCAATATAAAAACCGACTTGTTATGTTTGGGCACTCGAACATGGAAAAACTTGGTTTAGAATTTTTTATACGAAGGATGAAATAAACTTACTAAAAGTCAGTCATTCACTCCGTTAATAGAGACCTAACCGACTTTTTTAACATTATTTCTCATAAAAAATAGAAGAACTTATCGAAAGTTAGATCCACCTCTAGACTACGACACATGATCTCAAATCAACAAATGAAGGCCTAACTATTTAGGTGATGTTAGGTCGGTGCCACGTTTAAAGTACGAAGGATAGCCTTTTATAACTCGGAAAATGGGAGCCTAACTTGTAATTTATTAACTAGGTTTCGTATAAGGATATGAACTCCTCCTAGGATTGAGACCAACTTATACACATAGGTTCACCCAAAGTGTAGGGCTCTATGATGACATTGTCATAAACCCTGTCGACCATCATGATACTGGTTGAACGCAACTATTCTATGGTGGCCTAGTTGGAATACTTCGACCTTGCTTCTAAGATCTCTTTATGAACCTAGGGGTATGACTCACGGTAGGCCATAATTCAACTAAAATCTTCCCAAGCCTCTCCACGAATAAAAACAAAGAACAAAGGGGAGAGAACGTACCTTCAACGGCAAAGAAGTGGTCAAACTGACTTATTTTTGAAAGGGAAATGACATTAAAGACACGAGATATCAGGCATATCAGGTGCAAACTGATAAAACTCATACAAAATATGGAACAAAAAGATATCAGAGATATGACGAAGATATATATAGATAAACGGATAGATAAAATATTAGGGTTAACGGAAATCCTATAAAGAAGACACATTTTTCGAGAGCAACACTAGAGAAATTTTGTACTTTAATGCTCTGGTGACAAGAGACCTTTTTGTGGTCGGAACAATTAGTTTTTTTATTTATTATATTATATAAACAAATTTATTTTTAAAATATAATTTACTTATTATTAATAAAATTTAAATTTTAAATAAAATAAAAAATAAAAAATAAAATATTTTTTATTTAAAAGATAATTCATGTTTAGTCATATATGTTGATAAACATTCAAATACATGTTACAAATTTATAAATTTATAATAAAAACATGACAATTGTATAGAAAAATATTTTAAATATTAATAATTTTTTTATAAATTTATTTATTTATTTATATTTTTAATAATATATATTAATTTTTATTATATTATACAAATAAATAAACTTTTTAAACGGAGCGAGTGATACACTACTGCTTAAGATTTCACCTATTCTGATGGCTAATTAATGGTTGGCAAGAATTATTGGATGAGCCTTTCAAGAAGTTTCGTACGTTCTTAATTCTGGCCACATGTTTGGCTGAGAATGGAGTCGAGTGTGGACCACGATGAGCCACCTTGTTGCGTAGCCATTTTGGCCATCTCAGCCAGTTCCCTCACTTTTTCTCTTGCTTTTTTCCCCTTGTCTCCTTCCATCACCTCCTTCACTGCCTTCTGCAACCCTTCCCATTTGACAAACCCTCTCACCGACCCATCACACCTTTCCACCCTCAACCCCACCTTCATCTCCTCCTCCACCATTCTCGCATTCAGATACTGCTCCGCCATCACTGGCCACGCCACAATGGGGACCCCAGCGCATACGCTCTCCAACACCGAGTTCCACCCACAGTGGCTCACAAACCCTCCCACACTCTCATGCATCAGTATCTCCCTCTGATCCACCCACTCTCTCACCACCATTCCTCTCCCTTTCACTCTCTCTTCAAACCCACCACCCACACCCCACTCCTCCTTTCTCATAACCCACAAGAAACTCACCTTCGATTCCTCCAACCCCCTTCCCATCTCCCCCACTTGCTCACGTGAAACCTCCGCTTGCGACCCGAACGCCACGTACAAAACACTGCACTTCTCTTCAAGCTTCTGGTCCAGCCACGTCACCCACCTCGGTTTCGCACGCGCTTCGGAATAAACCTTGGGCGCCCATTCGGTCAAACATAAAGGGCCAATGCAGAAGCTTTTAGGAGAAGACGCTGCGTTGACATAATCAACAAAGGTGGGTTCAAGCTCGTAGAAGCTATTCACCAAAACACAATGACTACCAGATACTGCTGATAACACTTCCCTGTGGAACACGCTTCCAAGGGTACTGGGATCGAAGTTTCTAAACTCGGGGTCGAAGTCTTCCTTACTGAGTCTGATCCACGGGAACCGAGTGAGCGCGACTAACTCGTCATCGGGTTGGGACCCAGTGAGAATCCCCGAGCGTATTGCTTCAATGGAAACGCTGGAACTGTAACAGCTCATGCCGGAGACGGCGAACCTGGGGATTCCGAACCTCTTGGCGGAGTGTACGGTCCACCAGAGGAAGAAGTCGGTGAGCATGAAGCTGACACGTGGAAGGGTCTCGAGGAGATGCTCGAAGTGAGGCTGCATGGATGACGTGGCGGTGGCGAACTCGTAGAAGAGGGGCAGGGACATGGAGGGAAGCTTGTCCGTGCTCTCGACGCCGCTCGGGATGTTTGCGGCCGCGGGGAACGGAAGGGTGGCCACGGACGCGGCGGTGCCGGTCAGGAAACCGGCGATGAAGGGGCGGTTGGCTGGGGTGGTGACGACGGTGACCGATATGGAACGACGGAGGAGGGTTGTTGCCAAGTGGAGAAGGGGTATGGTATGGCCTTTTGACATGAATGGGAAAAGAAGAACATGGGAAGGTGAGCCATCGGAAACAATTGAACTCATTGCTTGGACTTAATGGTTCTTGGCACCACCCATTTGAAGATCAACTTACATTATTTATAGATGAAAAATAGTAAATTAATAATATTTATCATGAATATGTGTATGTTAGTACGAAAGAATCTTATAAACATTTTTGTCAGAGTAATATTTTTTGTCCAATGTACTTTTAGATACCAGACAATTATGTAAAATTTGCTTAACACAAAGTCATTGCGTTAGAAAGATTTATCTTCTACTGAAGGAAAATATTTCATATAACAATAATGATTGAAGCTCTTGCATTTTCCTTTTCAAGATAGCTTTATTTAAAGATAAGCAGTAGATAAAACTTTTCAATGTAATATATTTGTTAATCGAAATTTGCATCTTCGTCTGAAAAGTAGTTTAACAGAAGAATTGACAGTAGACAAAGTTTTCAACATGATTTGTCAATTAAAAAGAATTTGCATCTAAAATATAGACAAAACAGTGCAATCATTTTTATACTGGTTCGCTCAACTAAGCTACATCTAGTCTCCTTCAATTGAAGGGTTCCACTAGATATCAAAATGAATAACATTTGAGTATTATCGTCCACTCCTGGACCTGAGTATTCTTGACCACTCCTGGCCCGCCAGCTTCACACACCAGCGACACTATTCTTAAACCACTTCTGGTTCTCCAAGTATTCTCGACCACTCTTGGCCCGCCAGCTTCACTCACCAGTGCTAGTATTCTTAAACCACTTCTGGTTCTCCAAGTATTCTTGACCACTCCTGCCCCGCCAGCTTCACTCACCAGCACTAGTATTCTTAAACCACTTCTAGTTCTCCAAGTATTCATGACCACTCTTGGCCCGCCAGCTTCACTCATCAACGCTAGTATTCTTTGTTCAGCTACTTCAGGCTCTCAGTGAGTATTCTTTGACAAGCCCCTCCGGGCTTTACAAGTATTCTTTCCCTAGCCTCTTCAGGCTTTACACATGATTGCTAGGCAGGTTTGGTTTGCGTATATGGTTTACTCTCATAGTGAGGATACATAAATTGGCACACTCACTACAGTTTGATCCTAAGATGTACATATTTGAAAACTCCGTAGTTTACAGTGACGAATACATTAATGTACATTTGACTCTATACACTCTATCTCTGGGTTTTGTTGCATCATGGGCTTGATATCAATCTTTTTCTCGTTTGCACCATTTCGGGCCAAACAGCTAACCATTTAAGGTTTGATGTTGAGACCTATATATAGTCTTGTAAAATCTGCCCATTGCAGGTGTCCGTTGAAGCAGATATAGTCGTTCACGACCAGTTTGATCTTGTCATTTAATGCTCAAATTCTTGCATTAAATATTGCCTCTTGTAATAGACCTTGCATGAAGTATTCTTTGTCTTGTTAGCAGCTGTGTTTGACTTTACCTAAGACCTAGAAATTATTTGTCTTTCTCTAGTCATGCAGCAATATAGTCGTTGTCCTTTTCTGAAAACGTAATGCACTTTTTCTGACACACGCATGTTTTGCTTTTGTGTGCTTCTCTTCTTCTTCATTCCTTTATTTAGATATTGCGTCTTATGTTGAGAGCTTCTGTGTGATTATAGACGATGTCTTAGTTTGTTTCTTGAGACTTGATTCTTTAATTTCTTTTGTGGCAGTCTTCGTCTTCGTCTATTGGTCTTCTGCATCTCAATCTTGACCTTTGTCTCAGTGTCTGAGTTTAATGCTTTTCTTTTTCTTTTATTATGGTCAACAATGTTAATAGACCGACATTGTTTCTGTCTGGAGTGTCTTTCCGTCTGTGTTGTCCTTCGTATGATGCATGGTTGACTTTCTTCATGTTGTACTGGAGGTTGTTCTTGACACACAATTATCTGATGTTGGACTCATAGTCGTCTGTTTCACATATTGTATTTTGTCTATTCAATTGGCTTGAATTTTCTGGTTTTCATGATGTGCCTTGCCTTAACTGTTCTTTTGACAAAGTTGACCATTTGGCTTCTTCTGATGTTTGACACCGCTTTCCTTGTTCTAGATTTGGTCTCGCTTTGGCTTTTCTTCTGATACTTCAACGTCTCTTTCTGGTAGTGGTCCTCATCTAATGTTTGTTGAATGTTCTTCCGTCCGTGAGCAGACCTCATTTTGATGCTTGACTAACCATCATTTGATTCTCTTGTTTTAGTTTGCATAGGCTTCGTTGATTCTTATATTTAATGTATATGATCTTGCATTAAATGTTTGCTTCTATATCTGGCATTAATCATGACCTAGATATCTTTGTACTTTCCTGGTGTTGTAGCTACAAAGGCGTTGTCCTTTGCTGACTAGTAGGTGTACTTGCACTAACACATGCAGCTTTGATTTATGGATAAGCACTAGTCCTATTTTGCTCTTCTTTCTTCTTCTATTTTGATGACTTCATGTGTTCTTCTAAGAATGTGGATACTAGGTGGTTCTTCTCGCTATGACTTCAGATGCACTCCGGCCTTCTTGGTTTTGGTCTGTGCATTTGAGTCTCTATCTGGTCAACTTGTCATCGTCCATGGTCTTGTATCATATAAGGCTTCATTATTTTCTTTATTATTTTCTTTTTTGTGCTAGGCTTGATTTTGTTTGATCTCCTCATCTGACGTCTTGTTAGCTTTTGCCCTTCATCTTGGTTGATCGTGTCCTATTCTTTGTTTCTTTTGTGTATGTGTTTGTGGGTGTCTTCGTCTGATGTATTCCCTTCATTTGATCAACCTTTATCTAGTGCTTAGCTCATATCTCTTGATTCTTGTGTGGATGGTAATACATGCATATTCTCTATTCTTTACCTTGCTTGTACTTATATCTGAAACACTAACACGCTTGTTAGAAATAACATGTATTATATTTGTCTCATTCAAAACCTTGCTGGGAATTAAATTCGTCTTCGTCTGACTTAACAATCTCCCCCTTTTTGATGATGAAAAATATAATTGATCATATGGTTTTAGATACACTAAATCAGAGGTATTTGTATATTGTAGCAGGTTCATTTCATTTCTCCCCCTTAGTTTATGCTCTCCCCCTTACTAAATTATGATGGAAGTACTTGGAGAGGATTGATATTCTTCCAAGCTTTCCATACAAGGACCGAAATGCTCCATGAGGTTGAACTCCTTGAAGGTGGCGGAATCACCTTGGAGGATTCTACAATGGTGGAGAAGCACCTAAGAGAGGTTCGGTTACCTCTTGAAGAAGTGAAGAAGCTTGAGAAACCAAGCTTCTAGGAGAAGGAACTTTGAGAGAGAACCTAGGAGAAGGTTCCTCACGAATTTGACTCTTGAAAATGAGAGAGAAATCTGATTTCTAATTCTCATAAATGTCCAAAAGTGAGTACAAGTGTAGAGAAAACAAATATATAGGGAGAGGTAGCTTCTAGGAGAAGCTAACCTTAACCATGGTTCACTAGGAACCATGGTAAGGTGTAGCTAACCATCCATGGTTTCTAAAACTTGTAGGAGAAGCTAACCTTGACCATGGTTCACTTAAAAACCATGGTAAGGTCCACCTAACCTACCAAGGTTTAGAAACTTGGAGGAGAAGCTTCAAAACTAGAAGGAAGACTAAGTGAATTTCGGCCATGAACAAGGAAGAAAGGCTAGGCGGCCTTGGCTCAAAATTGCTCCATGGATTAATTAAAAAATATTTGATTTGGTTTAGTTAGGTTCATCATATGATGATGAGACCTAGCTAAATCAAATCTATGAAAAATTAGGAGCAAAATGAGTCCAATATGCAAAATTTTGCCTAGGCCCAATTCTGGCCCAATTACTAGTCACACTTCCTAGCTTTGCTAATTGTCACCCCCTTTTCTCTACTGAAAAAATAAAAAATGAATGTATCAACTAGGGAGGTTAAATGGAGTTAAACTCTCCAAGTAACCTACCTTGAAATCAATATACAAACACTAGAAAAAGCAAGTAAAGTGCCTCTTAAATACAAAGGCAAAAATAACCTATACAAAAGAACTACTATATGTACAAACATAAGAAAAAGGTCTTTAAGATCATCCCATTCCTCTTGGTTCTTTTAGTATATCACCTCTTGGATTCCTTGGCCTTGGCCATAGTCTATCAGATTATCTCTTAGCCGTGTTTGATAAAATGAGCAATTCTTTTCTATTTCTCCCCCTTTGTAATAATAAAAAAGAAATAAGTACCAGAGTAGATATAAAGATTATTTATGACAATCAAACCATAATGTTTTGATCGGAGCATGTATATCAAAACCTTTTTATCAAAGAATTCTGTTTATCAAGATGATGACTTTGTATGAACCATATATACTTAGTTAAACTAGATTGAGTTTGAACAACAGACGTATATGGTAGAAAAAAAAAGTGTACAAAATAAACTTATTTTTATTATTTTCATTTGTAGTCATGAGTAGATCAATTTATGAAAAAAATGTTGAGCTTAGGGGAGCCTGAACTTGATGAGGTCAAGATTATCTCTGAAGCTTAAAGGAGTTTTAATGATCACAAAATGTGTGTCAAGGACAACAACAAACAACAACAACTTAGAAGACAAAAACAAAGTCAAAGAAAGTGCTATGTGTTCTTACCGGAAATCTGCTGTAGAGCTAATCCGCCAGGTAAGATCGGTGAGCCTCCTTCACTGGTACGCTGGTGCTCCAAGATGGGGGTGGTACCTGCAAAAGAGACTCCGATGCTAAAGTTAGTGTTTGTGGGAGTATGAGTCTCGTATATGTAATGCACGTACCTTAGTGTGAATTAGGGTTGCTTTGGGCCTTGGGCCCTAGATAAGATATAATAAGATTAGATAATAGATCTCGTCAGGAGCGAGATCTCTTGGGATCAGTTGTGATCTGCTCAAATTCTGAGCTGACATCGCGTAGTGTGTGCCCGAGGTCATCTTGTGTTGTGATGCCGAGCTCCCGAGCTCGGAGCTCGGCTTCGCAGTATGGACAGTACACTAGCCCCCCGAGCTCCGAAGACCGTAGGTCGAGGAGTTAAGACCGAGCTCGTTAGGGAAAATGACTTTTCA